TACTCATGCAGATTTGAAATTTTCAAGAAATTTTCATTTCAGATAATTACAACTTGAGTTTTTTACGCCGCCGATAGACCATGTTTTTTGAACACGGAAGTCTACAATACTGTGTGCAACATCATCATATATTTATATTTAGACATACAAAAATTCTTAAAATGTCTTCAAAAATTGTACCCAATTGATATACCAATTTATATTTTATTTAGGATTTATAGTTACTTTTCAAAAAATCGATGAAAAGAGGCCTTTTTTAAGGCCTTTACTCTGTTGTTCCATTAAAGTCAGACTAAATTAGAATTTTGTTATTTGTTTCTTATGTTTTATTATGTATTTTATACTTGCTATATATGTACAATAGAATAAACTTTTATCATTTTCCTATTTAAGTTATTTTACATCATTTTTTATAATTGCAGTGCTAATACTGATAAAATATTATATGAAATTATAGTATTCAAATAGTTAAAAAAATTTTTTAATATTTTAAACTAAACATTTTGACGCATACTGTCAATAAAAAATAGTTTACGAAATAAATGTTTACATATATACTAACCCAAAGATAGTTCCCCAAATTAGAGTACTTAAGATATGTACATATTTCGGAAAACGCATTACAAACAAAAAATAAGTTTCAGCGAGATTTGTGTTATATCCATGAACAAAATTTATGTAAGTAATCGAGACAAATTCATTAAAAGTGCATACAATCCATCCGATTATTATTCGAATTATCCATTTACGCAGCCGTTGGTATTCCTTTGGTGCACCAACTGCTTCCATTGTGTCGTCCACTAAGGAAAGTTCATGTAAACACATTTTCCATTCCTTTAAAAAATTATTTTGATCGATTACGTGACATAAAAGACAATTTTATATTTGAATAAAATTTGTTATTGCAATGTGTATAGGAAATGTGATAGATAAAAGAGTTAAAAGAAAAAACAGTATTTGAAACGTAAGGTTTATAAATCTTTCGTTAAAAAGCTAATTTGAGAGAGTAATATAAACACAAATATTTTTTAATTTTACTAAGCATACTTTGTTTACAGTAAATAATAATATAAACATTAAAATTGTTCTGTACAAAAACTTTGCATAATAAACTCCGCACAAATCTTATGAAAAATAGGTTTCGATCAAATCGCTTCAAATTTTAATATTTAATTTGTAGCTCTTTTAATTTGTATTTCTTTGTATTTGCTTATAATTGTGAGATCAAGACGCCTTTAATACTCCCAACGGAAGTAATTAAAGAAAAGTTAAAAACTTTTTAAAGATTAAGTAATATTAGGGGCTATTAATATATTTAAAAACTTTTACCTTAAAATAGAAGAAGTTAACAAGTATCGATATAATCACGCTAAACAATATTACGATATGCGTCCAGTATTCTGCACCAGATACCTCAGAAATAACGTAGGAGTAGGCAGGATAATAAATAGAGTACGTAAAAAAGCTCCATATGGCCAAGATATACAGGAAAGAGAGATACGGCCTAGGATGTCCAAGAGGATATTCGAACAAATTCAAACCGCAGAATGAGCCAATGATTAATAATGGTGCCAGTGCATCCTGTAGCGTCTTTGTCATAGTTTTCAGGTCATCCACAAGTAATTTGAATTAATTGTTGCTCACGAAATACAAACATGTGTTGATATTTTTTCTAAGAATTTTAGAAACAGCAGATCCTCAAGAGATTGAGAATTACTATAAGATGCTTATATTGGAGGATGAAGTGTGCACACATCAAATGGCAAATACTTAGTAGCAAAATAAAAGCGCAGATGATCTAGATTAGTTTGCTTACTTCTCGCGGAATTTTTTTATACATTTATTTTTTATGCATTATTTATGTATTATTACTGAGCAAATAAACAACTATAAACGTAACTATCCTAGCACTATTATATCTTTATACTAGGTTTCAAGGTATCTAATGGATGCTTTTTACTTCCGACATTTACGATGTGTCGATTTGAGTTGAAGTTAATAAATTCGATAAAGAGTGTTTTATGTATTGTATACAATATTATATATTATATACAATAGTATATAAAAGTTTATATGTACAATATAATATTTTTGTAAATTAAAATTATGTAAAATTATTGTAATAATAATATAATTTATTAAGAATCATCCGTTTATAAGAATTTAATTTAAGTTAATTTATCTTCTGTCTTGTAACTCATTGTTAAAATTTAGCTTCCAATGTATTGAATGAAAAACAAGAATGACACAAGTACTGACTTATATGGATTTGGATTATGGAAAAAAAAGCATATGTGTAATATGTATTATATTACTTTATTATTATGAGAGATCGGAACTGGTTGTCAGTTTTCTACGATGCAAGATTCTACGACCGCTACGACTTTTTTTGTAGACCCCGCATTACAGACGCTGCTGTGCTACTTAATTGTAAAATCATTAGATTTATAAATTACCGCAATTGATACATCTAAAAATTAAGTAAACAATTTCACATTATTTGTCGTCTTTTTTAGGTTATTTTGACGTCAAAATGATGATAAATAACGTTAGCTTGTTTGCAGGAATGTCACTTTTACATCAATTATATTATCGACGTCATTATGACGTAACAATAATGACGTCATTGTCTTTGACATAATCACGTCACAGCAAGGTTCCAAATGACATCGATGACAAATAACTGACGATGTTTATGGGCAAAAAAAAATAACGTCATTTTGAAGTAACTTTGTGAACTAGGAAATATAGTATTTAATATAAATCGACGCTGATCGACGCTGTAGCAATGTCACGCCAAGTTCATAAAGACACAAAGGAAACATCGAACGGGCCGTGTGACGTAAATATTATTGCGTAAATGTTGTGGCGCTACTAAAAATAGGTAGTTTTAGTACTGTGTGTGCATTTCTTATTTTTACCAACATAAGAAAATACAGTATTTAAAAATCCTGAAAAAATTCTGAAAAAAATTTCCTGTATATACATATATAAAATATGTAATTATTAAAATATGTAATTATTAAACAATTAAAATTGAAACCTTACAAAAAAAGACAAAATATATGTTTATGTACTATGTTTTCTGTATATACATATATAAAATATGTAATTATTAAACAATTAAAATTGAAACCTTACAAAAAAAGACAAAATATATGTTCCCCCCCCCCCCCCCGTGAGCCTGGAAAAGATTCTACTGACGTCTATGTTCACGTTCGTGGTTTATGTCTTGTAGGAACGCGGCATTATACTTGTAGGATTAATAAGTTCCATTATTAATAAGTTCCATTATTAAGGTTCCTAAGAGAGGGAGAGATTGTTTATAAGAGAGAGAGAGAGAGAGAGAGAGAGAGAGAGAGAGAGAGAGAGAGAGTTTACGCGAGTGACGAGTACATGATTCGTATCGACGTTATTTTTGCCTTTTTTTGTAATGTTTCAATTGCTAAATAATTACACATCTCTCTCTTTTTCATATATATAGTAATAATAAAATTAACAAGTTTCCTCCACAAAGTCGTGTTTGATTCATTTTGTTTGGTTTATTTATTGCGAAGTAATAACCATTTAGTTTCAACTCATTCCCGTTGGTCACCCTGTATATCTGCTGAATTATTGATGAAATAATGTTTTCCTGTTAACTGTATATACTTTCCGTTTCATGCATAATGCATTACTTATCTTTGTTGTTTATGAAATGTAAACAAGGATTAATGAAACATCATTCGCATCATGCGTGAAACAGAATGCATTATCTATGTGCTGTCAGGTACTTATTATAAGTAATATAACAAAAATTCTAATTAAAAAACCCATTGTAATAACTTCTATACACTACTCAAAACTATATTAACAAACAAGAGAAGACGTCTTCTCGTCAGCTATAATATGTACAAAATTTAATAATTTGCATGTGAAATTTAATGCAAATATGCATGAAATTTAATGTAAATATGCATTAGATATAATGTACACGTACGTTACATTCAATACAGAGACTGAAAGTAAATTAATCTACATATATCTGAAATTAAATACATGCTAATATTCAATGCAACATATAAAAAATATGCATACTGCAATAAATAGTGATAAAGATAGAATAAAGTTTACAGCTCGTGAGCGCCCAAACCGAATGCAGCCAGTACGTACCAGTGGTACTTATGCGAGCGCTATGAAAGCCAAAACGAATTCACCCTATAAGAGTTAACTCTATGTTAGAACTCGGTACGATTTGCATTTCTTTTTCAATAAACAAATCACTATGTGTTTGGATCTAAAACATTTAAAATTGAAATATCCTTTATCTACAGTAAATGTTTGTTTTGCAAACATGTTTCAAATGTAAACATTTTAAATACTGCATTTTGTACAGTGATGTAATTATAGTCACAAATATCAAAATTTTTTCTCTCAATACATAAAGAAATAATTTTCGACAATTCTTACGTGAATATCGCTTTTGCGAAAATTTAAATAAAATGCCTGCAACAAAAGAAAAAATTTGCTGTTGCAACAATTTAGATATAAAATATGGTATAGGATTTTTAATTGGCTGCAGCAGCCAATTAAAGATGTTATGCTATATTTTACTATCTAAATTGCTGCAGCAGCCAATCTTTTCTTTCAGTGTGCTATCCTGTAATTTTCCTCCATCTTGTTATTACAAAAGGTAATACTCCTGTGATATAATTTCTCACTTTAATAATTTCGAAATGCGCAACGTTAACGAGATTCCATATAATAGAAGAACAGTCCCGAAGCACGCATCCGTGAAACGGCCGAAGTTTTCGACTTCTCGTAATTCCGGATCGGATACGTTTTGCCGGACGCAAATAGTGGCATGCGCGTTCGCGTTTCGACTGACTGCGAGACTCCAACTCATTATCGTGTTCCCACGAACTCATCGAATATCGCGACATTCCGGAACAAGAGAATATTCGCTCACAGGGTTCGTTGACCGTAGATTCGATGATCTACGCGAATTACTTGAGTACAGAATGGGGAGAATGGGTATCCGATACCGCGATGAACCATGCTTTTCGACGACACTGCAGTACTTCGCTATGTCACGGCTGCTTTTTTGGGTATTGTCGACCATTGGGTTTTGGGCGAATTTTTGGTGTTGCCGAACGATACTGCTGTATCCCGAGAATACTGTGTTTCAGGTAACTTCAAAATTTACCGTAAATTTTTGTAATACGTGTATCTTATCTCGAAAAGAAAATTTACTCGGTTAACATTTCACTTTACTTTTATCGTCTAGTTGCAGTAAAACAAAGAGTTGCTAAATAAGAATACAAAATTTCTCGTCGAGAGTATATTGTATATTTAGTTTGTTTTATTAATGCTGCGGGCACTTTTAAAATGCTTTTAATAAACGTTGTATAATTATTTTTAAGACAAATAAAACTTTAATAAAGTTGTAATAAATTAGAAACTACATTGTGTTTAATATATAATGTATTTATACGTAAGTGAACACTTTACATATAAATTTGTCATATAAATTCTTTATATTTTTACAGATTGTGATAGATAATTAAAATTTTGCATTTATATGCCACTAAAAGAAATAGCATTTCGATCGAATACGAGCTATTAAAATGATATTTGGCTACGCATACCGAAAGCTTTTAATTTGTGCTCAGGATTTGCTCAATAAAATGCTACGTTGTCGCCGCGTTAAATATTTATTTGCGAATTGTCGGCACGCTAATTAGCAAATCTAGTCCGACTCGACCAGAGATGAATGACTATCTCTCTTTTAAGAAGAACTTTCATATCAAACATAGTTCTTCACGATAATTTTGTTTAAAAGAGAAGAGATTTTTTTATAGAAAATTTAATTATTTTAAATTTTAATTCAGTAATATCTCTAGCTTGGAAAGAAATCGCTCAATAGAACATTAAAAAACAATAAATAAAATCATTTTCGGATTATTTACGTCACTTGACTCATAGGTTAAAAGGTCTTCGTCTTTCTCGATATGTAATCACGGAACATTTGCTCAACAGTTTACTCTGGGTATCTCGATGCCGATAGTGATGACGAAAAGGGGTGGCATTTCCTTCTCTTCGGGATTTCAACTCAACTACGTTCTACCCTGGAACTTGTCGCAGTTCGAACCGACGATAATTCCTGCGAGACACATCAGAGATCTCAATTTGCAGGAAACTTACGTCACCATTGAGAATCTCTTGGACGAGTAAGTTGTGCTAATCGCTCCCGTACGTTTTCCCTTAAAGATCTTCACCGCGAAATGAACTTTCCTTCGCAGCTTCAGTGAGAAGTTCAAAATGAGGAGAAAATGTCGAAACGTTTACTCGGTCGCTTGTGTATGCATTAATTAAATTTACCGAAAATGAAAACGAGAGGCGGTCGATAAAACTTCCGACGGATATATCAATGGTTTCAATTATGTACGGCACTTACAACGCCATCGAGATTGGCTGAACGAGCGAGTTGTCGCCCTTTCATTATTCTCTTTCCGCTATTCTTTTGTTCACTCTCATACACACGATTCCGGAACAAGCGCGCAATTTTACACGCCGCGCCGAATTTGCACAATGGAAAGAGAAAAGATTTGAATTTGGAATCAGAAGAACAAATGCCGTGCAAAATTACCGCGCAAAATTGCACGATGGATTACTAAATGCGACAGATGCACGAGAGAGTAGGTACATTTCTAAATAATTAACTTTTAACTCCTGCTGGCACTCAGTCAGTACCGATAAGCGCTTGTTGAAATGACATTTCGGCCAAACTACACACACATATTGTTTTCCTCTAATTTTAGGTTCCAAGAATGTTTTGTCATTGATACCGAAAATGTCAAAAATAACTCTCCATGTCAATATTAAAAATTTTTTTAATCTTGCAACATGTCAAAATTATTTTGTACTATACGTTTGCACAATTCATGATATTTATTGACGAATGATATATGACGTAGATGTCAATAATAAAATTTATTCACTTTTCTGAGATCGTGGTTTTATATGCAGATTACATATATATATATATATATATATATATATATATATAG